CTTAATAATTTCTATCTCCGCAATCTGTGCATATTGAAATAACACCACTTCCATTGAAAAGTACTTGATTTTTTTCAATAAAATCAAATCAAGCAGTATGCAAATTCAAAGGAGTAACCATTGTCCAAAAATGGTGCGAACCTACATTCGGTTTAACCTATTATGTACAAATATTAATTTAGGTGATGATCAGTACGGATACGATGATAATCAGGAAGCAGACGCAGGTAGAAAACTTATCCATTTCTTTTTTTAATGACAAACCTTCAATTATAATTTTTTTTACATCCCGCACCACTTTTCCAGGTGACGACGGTGGATACGATGGTGGAGATGATGGCGGATATGATGGTGGAGACTATCGAGGATATGATTATAATCAAGGAGATGAAGGAGAACAGGAAGAAGAACCTGAGCCCGAGGAGCCGGAGTATGATGACTATGAAGAAGAGCCACCAGAAGAACCTGAGGTGGAGCCAGAGCCTGACTACGATGAAGCAGAAGAGCATGGATATTTGAATCAAGATGAAGATGATGATGAAGGCCCGATTGTGGTTAGTTATGCTTACTTCTCATTATTGCTGGAAGGAGGGATATATGAATGATTTCTTCAGGAAGAACAAGCTGTAGCTTCTTCCACCAACGCTGAAGAGCCGGGAGGAGACGGTGGTGGCGGTGGCTTAGGTCTTGGAAGTCTTGTAAAAGGTACTTCAATTACCAGTTCCTCATGATCGAAGGAAAAATGAATTCTAGAAGACGAACAAAATCTTCATATCAGTAAGTCACCATAATGAAATTTTTTGTAGGTGCTATGGATGGTTTTGGAGGATCGAGTTTTGGCGATATTATGGGCTCGATAAATCAAATAGCTGGTGGCCAAGGAGGTACGAAGACTTGCTTACGAAACATACAAATATTTAGAATATTGGAGGTAGTAAAAGCCTTCTAACTATCGCAGCTCTCAATTAACAACATATGGGGATTTTTTTTCGTGATTTTCATCAGCCTGGGGGTGCTTGGCA